CGGTGGGTGAAATGGAAAGGGATCTGGGAGTGATAAATTAATAGACGATAAGCTATCCTTCAAGGAGCATGTCGCTCAGTGCTCAGCAAAGGCAAACAAAGTCATCGGCATCATTTGCAGAACTTTTGGTCACCTAACCGAAAAGACATTCGTTCAACTGTTTAAGAGCTTGGTACGCCCACTTCTTGAGTACGGGCACTGCATGTAGCAACCAGCACACAAGACTCTATGTAGTGATATAGAAGACGTCCAGCCTCCAGGGGCAAGCAACAAAACTCTTGGCATCACTAAAAGACAAGCCCTCGCTGAAGTTACCATGCTTGGAACACCGCCGGCTGAGGGGCGATATGATTGAGGTTTATAAATACCTACATGGGCCAACATGGCTACTATGATGTCTCAGGCCCGAGTTTTGCGATGGCTACAGCGAGAAACCTCCGAGGAAATTCTCTAAAAATCCAGAAGAGCCACTTCAGACTGAACATTAGAGCTAACTTTTTCTCTCAGCATATTGTCACAAACTGGAACAGCTTGCCAAAGAATGTCGTCAAAGCACCATCTGTGGATACTTTCAAGAGTCGCCTTGATATACATTGGCTTCATCTGCCTACTCTGTATGCTCCATCATGCCAGAACTAGACACTAACTTTTTTTTGTAACCCAGCTGCCCCCAAATTTTGCTAATATTACAAAAGTTAGTATAGTCTCGGAGAGACGAACAGGCCTCTGAGAAAGGCCTTGAGCGTCTAACTTGTCAAGTCAAGTCATAATTCAAGATATATAGAGAGTGCATTCAGCCGTTGGCCGTGACGGCTGACAAATTATGACGTGCTCAAAGTCTCCGTTTTCCTAGATGAGCGCGTGTGTCACCGCTGCAGCAGTCCCACACTCAGGATGATCCGATGATGTATGTTTATGTGGAATTTTCCCTTGCCTAATGACTTTTTGTAAGTAATTGTTCTGCACCAGGGTGCAGAGGGTGGAAGCAGCATCGCCAATATATGGTTTTTAAGCCCATAACATTGCTAAACATTTTCAAGATGCATTGCCGGGTAATTTTTAATGAAAAGCCATTTACCCTGAGTAATGAAAAACTATTATTATTATTATTATTATAAATGAAAAAGACTTCTGCTATCACTGTCTGACTAAAGGCAGAACTCTGAAATTTGGAGAGAAAGCTCAAAAAACTGTTAGCTTGTTTTGATAATATATTTCAAAAACTTTACAATTCGATAGCACAGTTTATTTTTAGCACAAAGTGGCACCCTTTGCAAATATTGGCCCAGAAAATAGACAATGAAAATTTCTCTAAAAATAAGATGGCGTCGTCATAATTCAAGTTTTTTCGTCCATTTTCGAGCATAAGCCTCTCAAATTTTGCTGCCAGTTAGATAAGACTTTAAAAACGAAATGTTCTCCGCACGTGCTAACAAAAAACTGCTGGTCCGTCATTTTGCTTGGTTTGTTGTGGTTCATGTGTCATTTGTGCACATACCTACTAAAGGAAGATATTTTCCATGCTTGGTGCAGGTGTCCGCAGGGCTGGAAAAGTCATATTTTTCTGAAATATTGCGGCTCTAATATCATATATTTCAGTAGGTATGAAATCTCGCGGCTCTAATCTCATGTGTTTTTGTTTGATTAAAAAATCATAGTTTACACTCCACAAACCTGTCGTTTCATATAATTTTCAACTTCTGCAATCTGCAATATTTCAACAATCCTGCCAAAATATCCTGCACAACGTAATAACAACAAGTTAATCTAAAATGTTTCTTTGAGGATTGTGTAGTTGCGGTCACGTCATGATCAGTCGCCACTTAGATGGAGACAAATGTTAGTGTTGACTGTTTTTAGGGTAAAATTAGAGATTATGGAAATGGCTTTTAATGGCCAAGGTATGGAATTCACGGCTCAAAGAAATTGAATCGCAGCTGGCAAATCCATAAAACCATGGCTCAAAAATTCAGTTGTGGCTTGCCAAGTAGATATATGTCATGCCTGGGCCCATGTTAAGTGTTGGCACAACTCCCGGCCATGACCGCGCAAGAGTCCGCGCAGATACAGATTGTCATAGGACAAGAAACAGAAAATTATGATAGTAATACTCAATATGCGTTTAATTATTCATCATTAATATATGATTGTTCTTGATGTGGAAATTTGGTGAAAGTAAGAAATCTAGTGCTTTATTGGGAAACTATCATATTTGCGCTTACACCACACTGTCACGCTGCTAAAAAAACTCGTGCCTTAAGAATAAATTTCTTCTTGAATATTTCATATCACATACTGACACATAGTCTAATTACAATCTGTAATAATGCTGTATTGATTTAATTTGTATAGTCCTTTTTTGAGTATTGTTATAAAGTATTAATCATGTCCCTTTCACCAGCCAGTAGGATGTCGGGAACTGAACGTATTCCCGACATTGTCATATGGGTTTGTACTATTTGCTGCAACCAGTATTTCATTAGAAGGTACAATAGTACATCACCAGCCATGTTGCCTTCTATTTATCAGTGTAATTCATGTCTGACCAAATTGTGATCTATGAATAATGAATGAATAATTCATAACTGCACCGAATCTCAGAACCTGTGTTAACACATTTACATTTACTCGATGCAGATATATGTTTGTGTGTGATGGTGTTGCTGTGTATTCATTTTTAAACAACTTTCGGGGCATGGCGCATTTTTTTACTGGCATATTACGGCGCACGGCGCAGATTGATGAAATGACAGTATAATTTCCATGCACCTGGCACATCTTCCTGACCATGGCAGCAGTACAGTGTGCAGAATCGGCCGATCTCATTGATCCTAGCGCCATTCCCAAAAACACTACTCAAGGCCTTGCTCATGGGTTAATCAACTATCAACGTAATGAATTCTGAATTCTGCAAAAGTGATTTCACTGGTCCTCCTCCTGGGAAGATTGATGTCCATTAATTGTCCATGTGAATAGGCGGAAGATGTGCCAGGTGCATGGGAATTTATATTGTCATTTTATCAACCTGCGCAGTGCACCATTCTATACCATTAAAAAAAATGACCCATGTGCACTGCGCCATTCTCCTAAGAGGCTAAAATAGTTCAAATATGGAAGTGTGGCAATGCAATCACACACCGTACTGCTGTACACACAAACATATATCCGCATCGTGTTGCTGTTGGAATTTGGGTAGACTTGATTTACAGAACTAAAGAAGGCAACATGGCTAATGGATTGAGATGTGCCATTGCCATCAATGCCTTCTAATGAATGGCTGGTTGTGGCAAGTAGGGTACAAACCTGTATGCGAGCATTGGGACTACATTCTGGACATCTTCCCAGCTGGCAAAATAGACACGATCAGTACCTAATAACAATGCACATAAATGGACTATACAAATTAAGTCAATGTGCATAATTACAGAGTGTAATTAGACTATATGATAGCTAAGTTAAGGGGACCATGTCAGTCATAATCTATTTTCTATATTTGGGGAAGGATCATCTCCAAACTTGGTACACATATGTAAAATAAAAAATGATGACTATTTTGTTCCTGTAAATTAAAAAAAATGAAAGAAAATGTGAAATTCATAGAAAACTGCCAAAAAGGGGGATACTCTAAAACAGTTTATAACTGTTGCAAATCACATGCTACAACATCGAGACATGTATCATTCAATGCATAATGACAATATCTAGCAATTGTCAGGCCACTTTTTCAATTTTTTCTTGGTTCTCTTGTTATGATGGTTTTTCTGAAAAATTTCAAATTTTCAAAATTCACCCCCCCATTTTGCAATATATAATGCAAACTAAAACAAAATCGAAAAAATGGCTTGGCAATTGCCAGAGCTTTTTATTACGAATCGAATGGTATATGTCTTATTGCTGCAGCTTCAAAACTCTAGGACTTATAAAGGACAAAACTCAAAGACCCCCCCCCCCACCTCTCCCCCTTGCGGTATCTAGTGAACGCATAAATCAACGTACAGAGATGGTAATGGTACTGTTGGATAGCTCAGAATGTCAGCTTTAAGATGAGACTAAAAACCGGAAAAGCCAAACCCGTCGATTTTGGACCGACACAGTCCCCTTAAATGTGTTAAGTGTTTAACAAGTTAATTTAAATGTGAAAACTCTTGTCATGTGAATTCCATCATTAAAAGTATGTATCAAAGTCTATCTGTGAAGAGTTTTCCATGAGTAACTTCTATAAGAGAAAATTAGTATAGAACCAAAATACTTTGTATGTCCAACAATAACAAGTAATAATTATAGAATTCATTAATAATTGCAGAATATTCTATGTCTAGACTGGCACACAAAACGTTTCTAGAAATAATTGCTTTATGACATATTGCATGTGATAATGTACCAGTTGCGACAAGATGAAATCACATGCCATTTATGACAAATTTGAAGACAAATATGAAGATTATTAATAAGAATCATTCTCTGGTATTCAATCATAATTGCTATGTACTCAAATATTGATATGCACATCACAAAATTTAAATTGCTATGCTTCTACACTAATATAGATAGAAATGTTCTGGACAAAAAATGCTCTCCTAAAATAATGGCTTTGATTTACATGCTGCTGAATTACACATCTATTTCATGATGTTTTCTGTCTCAGTTATATATGCCATATTCAAATGTAGCCAAGTTGTGTGCATCAAAGATTGCCGATGCATTGAGCAGGCGATTGTGTGCTCAAGTAGTTTGAGGCATGTTAATTTTGTTGCAAATGATGAATTTAAGGAATTCCTTTTGAACCTCTATTGCTCTCTACAATTTTGTGTATCCCTCCAGTTCTATTACCATAGCTGCCAAAGTTATAGATCAAAAACTTCAACCTCGGTGATTCATAACTATCATTTCATTTGATGATGATATCCATTACCAAAGAATGCCGTGTAGTGCTGCACCAACTTTCCGATGCTGCAGTCAGGAAGGGGAGATGCCCAGAGCAGAGCCTCACTCAAGCGTCTCCTGGTGGCAGCAAAGTAAAGTCTGAAGGTAAGCCATANTAATATTATTGGAGGTCAGCCCCATATAACTTTTTTGTCTTAATACTCACATGAATCATTAATTTGGTGAACATTATATATACCGTGAGATATCTTGCTCCATAGCCTTGTGTTACCAGTACATTAATGTACTTATTTACAGCCTTAGAAAAGGCTGATCCTCCACCAGCTCTTGAAATTCCTGCTATCTTCATCAAAGAGGAGCCTGAGGATAAAACTGAAGAAGTATCCATCAAAGAGGAGCCATTCTTTTTTGGAAATGAGGTAGTTGGAGCTAAAATGCAAATGTTTAGCAAATAATTTAAAGTGCCTGCACAGATTTTCCTGGTAAAAATTGGCAGAATGCTATTTCTGTAATCAAATATTCAAATTAGGCATCAGGAGACACATCATAACCCAGTATTTAGTATGAAACATAAAGAAATAATAATTATGCATGAAGCTCTCTCATCTTGATTCAATAATTGGTTTGAGGTCATGGAAAATTTTATTTGTAATTGCTCATGGTATATTAAATATATATATATATATATATCTTATTTTGAATCTAAATTCACCATTTTTTCCTGTAGTTTGTATATGAATAAAAAGAATTGTGATGGCCCTTGTTGGCAGGAACCATGCCAAAACTGTCCAAATTTTGCTTTAAAAAAGTTCTTCCTTGCTTGTCAATGAATGAGTAGGAATAGAGCAGAGAATAGCTAAGAATAATATTGGATAACATTCATGCCAATTGATATGAGATTTTAACCCGAGTGATGCAATGGCAATACAAAACAAAAAAAAGCTTTTCTTCAAAATTTATTAATGCCAAGTTGATACAAGGAAAATTTGCTAAAAATGTGCACTTGCTCCTGAAATTGTGACTTATGTTTGAAAGTCCATTTTAATTTGAAAAGAGAAAAGTGAAATATTTGCATTATGGAGCATCAATTTGAGGAGACATGTTATTGCCAGTAATTTGTGAATGCTACCATATTCATGTACTGTTAAGTTAGGGACTTGCAGGGAAGTCTATGAGGAGTTGTATATTATATCATTCTTCATAAAGTACACACATGACTGCAGCCACATCAATATTGTCCTCCACATCCCCCCAGGCTTGTTCAACTGCACATCTCAGCCCTGCACCTGCACTCTCCTCTTGTGTGCCGTGCAAGACAGAAGCTCAAGTTGAGGCTCATGACACCCACCAACTCCTCACAAAACATTTCTGCTCTGTTGTTAAATCAGGTAAATATTGTAATTTCAGCTTTTAATAATTTACACTAGCAATGAATTTTTGAGAAAACTTCCCAAATCTTCCAAATTGCTAATGTTTTGTTTCATTGTCTGGATTTAAGTGTTAAATAGTCCAATTTAATAAATACTTCTAGTGAAACTGGTACATTTTCCTCATACATTTTAATCCTGCAAGTGAAATTTGATTATTTATGATCTTCAGAAATAGATAGCAATGCCTTTGATTTCCCATAAGCAAGGACCAAATCCTTGAAAAGGACATCTAGTTTATGTAGTCTAGGGAGAGGAGGAAATGAGCTTGAATCTGTTACATTCAATATAACATCGTAAGTTCGTAACTCTCTTGAATCTGGAATCTCGTTACCGTAAAATGGGGTTACTTTGACCGGCGGGGTAACTTTGACCACTTTTCGTTTTTTTAACAAAAACACCCAAAACTCAAAAATGATTTGACATAGAAAAATTTTGTCAATGGCCATCAAAGGCCTAATATTGAGGCCACGTAACACAATAGAAAGATTTAAAAAGTTTGCATATCTAATAGGTTAAAAAATTAATAATGTGACCCACGAAAAAGAGCTATTATTTAAAGCCTGTCGGAGTACCCCCTCCAATTTTTTTATTTTTTGGTAAAATAATTCAATGTTTTGATGCATTGTAGTAGAACTCCTCTAGTTACATATGCAAAAGACAAATTTTAGGAAAGTGTCATATTTTGCAAATGGGGGGCGCCGCCCCCCAATGGGGGAACTTTGACCACCTAATCACAGCCGTGATGAGGTAACATTGACCGGCTTGGAAATTTAGTTAAAATATTAAGTTTTGTGACTTTTCTGTTGTGGTTTTATGGTGGGCGGGAAAGGTGAACATGGCATCAAAGGTTAGGCTGAGGAGTTTTAGGTAGTGTTCGAGTGGAAGCAATAGGTTATTAATTTGTATATGAGGATGGTAGAGGTACTGGGTCATGTGAGGTGTTAAGAGGGTGACTATTGATTTGATTATTGCGATTTCCAGGTTTAAGCGTGCATAACAGAACTCATAGACCAGGTTTGATCGCATCCGAGCAGGAATAACGTCCTTATACCTGAAGAAAGAACCAAATTTGAAATTATTTACCAGTAAAACATGCAAATTTATATATGGGGAATATTTAAAACACAGAATCTCTAGTTCTTTGGACATAGTTTCAGAGGCACTACCAAAATAGGGCAATGTGCAATAAATAATTTTCTTACTATCGCATTCAGTCACAGTTTCAGAAAATTTGTTGGATAAGAAGCATTTGATTTTACTATACACAAGGCACAATGGAAAACCATTAAGCTGAAATATATTACGAATGAAATCAAATTCCTAATGCATATTATGGAAAGTAGAACACACCCTATATCCACGGTATATCAAAATTTGAAGACTATTTAATTTGAAACGAAACGAGCAGAAGCTAAAGAAGCTCATACCCAAGCCGGTAAATGTTGGTTTTCAATATACGGAAGTCTGAAAACGACCGCCGGATTTTGTGATTTTGCAATCGAGAAACGACAAGCAATTGTTGGATTCTAATTCCATAGTGAATTTTATTGAAGGATGTTTGAGGTTTAGATAATCAAAGAAGAGGCCCGCATGAGAGGGATGCTTGAAGATCAGAAACGTATCATCAATATACCTATTATAAAAAATCAGTTTAAAATCACTGGGACAATTGGTCAACCAAGAAACTTCATGAAAGCACATGAAATGCTTTCATGAAAGCACATGAAATGCACGTTTTCAATATCAATATGGTGAATTTTCTTGGCGTTTTCTTTACTTTTAAATTAATTATTTATTTCTTGTGTTTCAATACAAGATTTGATAACATTGTGGGAATATGCCTCCTCAAGAGTCCCACTCATCTGAGTAATATTGTTGAAGGTCAGCTCCATCTAACTTTTTTTTCTAATACTGACATGAATCATTAATTTGGTAAACATTATTTTTACTGTGATATATCTTGCTCCCTTGCCTTGTGTTACCAATGCATTAATGTACTTATTTTCCAGCCTTAGAAAAGGTTTACCCTCCACCAGCTCTCGAAATTCCTGCTATCTTCATCAAAGAGGAGCCAGAGGATGAAACTGAAGAAGTACCCATCAGAGAGGAGCCTGAGTATGAAACTGAAAAAGTATACATCAAAGAAGAACCCAGCTTATATGGAAGTGAGGTAGTTGGAGTTGAAATGCAAATGTTTAGTAAAGCATTCGAAGTGCCTGCACAGATTTTCCTGATGAAAATTGGCAGAATGCTATTTCTGTAATCAAATATTCAAATTAGGCATTAGGAGACACAGCATAACCCAGTGTTTAGTCTGAAACCTAAAGAAATAATAATTAAGTATGAAGCTTCATCATCTTGATTCAATGATTGGTTTGAAGTTACGGAAAATTTCATTTGTAATTACTTACTGTTAAGGATTTAGGAACTTGCAGGGAGTATATGAATGATATAATATACATATGATGTATATTATATCATTCTTCATAAAGTACACGCATGACTGCAGCCACATCAATATTGTCCTCCACATCCCCCAGGCTTCTTCAACTGCACATCTCAGCCCTGCACCTGCACTCTCCTCTTGTGTGCCGTGCAAGACAGAAGCTCAAGTTGAGGCTCATGACGCCCACCCAAACTCCTCACAGAACATTTCTGCTCTATTGTTAAATCAGGTGAATATTTGTAATTCCTGTTTTCCGTAATTTACACTACCCAATGAATTATTGAGAGAACTTCCTAAATCTTCCAAATTGCTAATGTTTTGTTTCATTGTCTGGATTTGAGTGGTAAATAGTCAACTTAATAAATACTTCTAGTGAAACTGGTACATTTTCCTGATACATTTTTAATCCTGCAAGTGAAATTTGATTCTTTTTGATCTTCAGAAATAGATTGCAATGCCTTTGATTTCCCGTAAGCAAGGACCAAATCCTTGAAAAAGACATCTAGTTTATGTAGTGTAGGAAGAAGAGGAAATGAGCTTTAATCTGTTACATTCAATATAACAGTAAGTTCGTAACTCTCTTGAATCTGGAATCATGTTAATGAAAGGATTTACAAGGTAATTACATTTATCTCATCTTTTTGATGTTCATTATTATCAACACCACACAGCTTGGGACAAGTATGGATTGTTTGGGCTGCCGACAGTAATTCTTCCATCTTGAAGTTGTCCATGGTCTGCTTGTGATAATATTATATATCCATATTATATATAGCAGAGTAAGTCCTACTCTATGTGGCCCTGAACTATCATCAACAAGGACATGAAAATAGCAGATCAATATTAAGCATTAGAACAGCAAAATACAATTTTGAAATTCAAAAGTTATATTTATCTTAGTAATTCTTAAAATATTGTTTCATAATATAAAATGTGGGGTTGTTGTTGTGGCCAGCTGAGGCATCACTGGCCCTGCCAAGGCTGCAGCCAATGTGCGACTGCTGCTGGATCTCTCTGAAGAGATAACAGTAGCTGCATGCATTGATGTTGATTCTGGTTTTCAAGCTGTTCAGGAAAATGCTTAGACCAGTACGAAGTTGTGACAGCATCTGTCTTGTAGATCTGTGGTATGATGGTTCAGAGGTCCAAATTGGGATGACATGGATTATTGGATGACAGTGGTTTTGTAGGCGTGTTGAAGGTTTAGTTCATGTCATGTACATACGATGCTCGTGAGATGGCTTCTGCTGATATTGAGTTTAGTTTTGTGTGAAGTTTAAGTTTAAGTTAATATTAAATTTTGTGACTTTTCTGTTGTGATTTTATGGTGGGCAGGAAAAGTGAACATGGCATCAAAGGTTAGGCTGAGGAGTTTTGGGTAGTGTTCGAGTGGAAGCAATAGGTTATTAATTTGTATATGAGGATGGTAGAGGTACTGGGTCATGTGAGGTGTCAAGAAGGTGACTGTTGATTTGATTATTGAGATATCCAGGTTTGATGATGCTGAGTAATCCAGATCAGAATGGGTGAAAATTTCCAAATGATTTAAATGTTTGTCACAATTTTTAATGTTTGTTTTGGCAAATCAGGGATTTCAATGAAATCAAACTTGAAGGTCAACAGTTTAATTTGTCTGTTATTATTATATGAGATTATTTTAATCTATATTTTTATCATAAGCATGGCAAAGGTGGGTCAGCACCGGCATCAGGAGAGGCTGCTGGTGGCGCTGACGGTTCTGGAGCGTCCAGCTCGAAGCAACACATCAGGCTTGGGATTTCCCAGCGTGGATTGGTGCCTGCAGGTGGAGGCCAACTGCAGCAGCGCATTGATGTAGAACATCCTGCTTCAGTGCCCGACCACTGCTCTAAATACACCTCTAGTTCAGGGAGTGGACTACTGAAGCACATTAATGCTGAGCATTTGATAGAAAAATCATTTCAATTCTCTGACTGTGAACAATCCTGTACCACTAGAAAATCACTACAAGAGCATATCAACTCCAATCATTTGAGAAGAAGTGAACACCAATGCCAATTCTGTTTGAATTCATGTGCTTCTGATGCTGATCTCAAACAACATATTCTCTTGCATCATCCTCAGAAAAATGCACAGAAAAACCCCAGGGGTAAATACGTGGGTGGTTGCAAGGAAGTCTTGCACAAGCATTGCCTTTCTAAATGTTCACCAATGAAGAAGTTTCGCTGCTCTGAGTATGATTATGCTTGCACCACAAGAGGTGGCTTGAAAAGTCACTTTCTATACAAACATTCAACAGAAAAGCCTTTCCACTGTTCCAAGTGTGATTATGCTTGCCCCAGAAAAGGGCAGTTGGAAAGTCACTTTCTGTCCAAACATTCAACAGAAAAACCTTTCCAGTGTTCCATATGTGATTACGCTTGCACCAGA